CAAGGTACTATCTATACAGCAACATAGCATCTTAAATTGATATATGGATATCTTGAATAAGATATAGTTTTCTCCAAAGGGAGAAGGTTGAGCAAAACGAGGGTGATAACTAACAGACGACGAAGAGAACGCACACAGCAACGGAATAATTCTGCCAGCGTATGAGAAATATGAAATGCACCGGTGATCCTGATCCACAGAATCCCGCAAGTGGACGACTCGGGGTGAGCTGAACTGACAGCAATATGACCGCATAAATTCGTAATTCATCCAAGATTTCATTAGATGTCATCAGGTTTCTACTATGGCAATTAGCCGCCTTTCTTGTTTTACAAACTACTAACTAGAAGACAATAAAAATAACCTTGGGAACAAAATGGCTAGAGTGGTCATACGGTCATGATACGAAAACAGGAACGGGTAAACACCAAAAAAGCACTCAAGACGTCCTATTCAGAATTCAGGACTTTTCCGGCAGGGAATGTCGCTATTATACCGAGGTCCCCACATACTCTACGGTTCCTCCCGAAACACGGTAGATCAGACCCAAAAAACTTTCTCCCAAACCTGGAACGTTTGGGAACCGTCGGCTCAGTTAATCCTTTGCACTCTAATGGGTTTCGGCTCCATCAATGACAGCATTGTTTATCCAACAAATTTTCACAGACAGAACTGCGTTGTATAACCGGCCATTGGGAAAATATGGCGATTAACGACATTATAGAATCATAACTGCGCTACTCAGGCACGACCGCCCTATGAGGGTTAGTGATGCGCCGCTTTATTTAAGCATCAAACTATAATGCAGAATCGATGATTATCCGTGGCGGCTCCTGATTTATTATGAGGTAAAGTAAGATTCGAAACACGATAACGGTTTCATCGGTATGGCGCATCGCTTTACATCATCCACAGACGCAGCCATTGAGGAGCTGTTGCAAAGACATGTACCACATTCTGTCATAGAAGGTCACGCATGAACTTGGGAGGGGGGAATTCTGACTAGGTCACCGTACTCCCTGTTAAAGTTTGAACGGTAATGAACAAAGATTACTCGACTCGGAATTGCGTCTATCAGGAATGTCGCTGCTCAGATGTGATCGTCCTACACGAGGCGGCATGCGTGCTGCTTTATCATCCAAACAATCTAAGTGTGAACACCCTGGTATTATCGATTCAGTCCCCGACTCGGTATGGTGTTCACTACGACTCTCCAAAACACGATAGGTGTCCAATCGATGACGTTTAACGACCTCCCGCATCTTCAGACTCAGCCAACGAGATTCCGCTGCAAACCATGAGAAATGCAGTATCATTAAAGTTTACCCATGTCCTCATATTCGGTGATTTTAACTGTCCCCATCTCTTCAGAACGAGAACTTCCCGCCAGCCAGTCCAGAGACAATTATCCCAGTTCATTAGATTGCACCCATTGTACAACCACGTAACAGAACCCACCAGATTTGAAGCACGTCACGTACCATCAACACTGGATTTAGTGCTGACTAACAAGGAGCTGATGGTGGAATCTGTCGATGTAATATCTCCACTAGGACGTAGTGGTCATGCCGCATTGAATTTTGATTATATCGACTACGCCTGTACCCAAGAAAACCGAAAGAGCACCACTCGTGCAATCATAGATCATTAAAAGTTGCAAATCCGGACAGTACTTAGGAAATAGGTCCTCCCAGAAGACGATCACGATCACGATCCTTTGGTGGCACGGGGAAGCTTCACCGATTATTTTACAGAAATAACAACGACTGCAACAAGTATCAAAACTTGCGCGAAATATGAAACTCGACAGTCATTCATGCGCACCCGAACAATGAAATGGATAGAGAAAACGAGCTCTTCCTGGCGGGAGTACAGAAGATGTCCATCTATCGAAATTTGGAATAATTACACCTTACTGCGAAATCAGTGTAACAAGTTTGTACGAGACGACAAATTGATGTAACCAGATGCCCTAGCTCAAAAATTCATTTATAATCCAAAATTGCTTTATAAACATAGCAACTCTACAAGGAAGGTCAAATGCGGAATACCAGCATTGAGATCATCCGAACATGTTTCAACTACAACTCTAGAAGCAGCACAGCTCCCGGAAACCCAGTTCCATCAGGTGTTTATTGCAACCGCACACAAGGCATTACAGATTCCAAGCAAACTACTCCGTATACCGTATCCATCACTGGTTAATATGGCCTTTGACAGTGAGAACGTTAGAGCAAAACGACTAACTTCGCGTAAAAATTCATTCCCAGGCGCAGACAACATGCAGCCCCGGAAGCTGACGTCACTAGCCAATAACATTTTCGAACCTTGGGCTGTTCTTTACCAAAGGATGTTCAACGAGGCGGTAGTTCCGCAGTCATGGAAGAAAGGGGTAATTTAACTCATTCACGAAGGGGGCTCTCGCAGTGATCCCGCCAACTGCCGCCCTGCTACTGTAGAAAGTCTTGGAGGTTATTGTGGCAGATCTGTTGATGGAGCGCCGGGAGAAGCATGAGATTATGTCCCCAACACAGCACGGAGTTCCGCACAACCATTCGAGCACCACAAATCTACCTCTTGCACGAGATGAGTGGACAAAGTCCGTCGATGCATGCGAGTCCTTGGACGCAGTTTATTTGAACTTCTCCAAAGCATTTGATCGAAGAAACCACCAAATTCTACCGCGATCACTCTACAACTATGGAGATTTGGAGGTTTGGTTCTCGACTGGATCGAGGAGTTTCTGCGACAAAGAACCATGTCAGTTCGTGTTGCTGATTCATTATCTTAACCTATAACCGCTCTAAGGAACGATCTGTGCTGAGGCCTCGTCTCTGTTTTCATTCATAAACGACCCGCCACATGTCCTTGGGCCTAACACACTGCTATATGCGGACCACGCTAAGATCTGGAGAACAGTAACATATCCAGAAGGTTGTGTGGCACTCCAACATTATGATCAATGCAGCTCACTGATGACATTGGAATTCAACATTCCCTAATGCAGTTATTTCCATGCGGCACAAGACTCGTTTCTCCTATGTTCTGGGGAACAAAATACTACCGCATGCTACTGATGAAACGGATTTCAGAGGATGTAGAATGATCCACGCGCTGTGCTAGTGCATCATCCACGGCTATAAAGCAAGTTGGACTACTCAGACGTGTTTTCGGGCAGTTCGAAAGAGCACTGTTCCCACGCTTGCTATCAGCGTTCATTCGGCCACACGCAGAATACGCCGTTCAGGTATGGAATCCATGGTTGAACCACGACAAACAGGCTATAGAAAGTACGCAAAAGTTGGTAACCAAAATGATAATAAAAGATCTGTATAACAAGACATACTCCGAAAGACTCTCAATATTGGAGCTTTACTAATCTCAGTTCCGTTGACTTCGGGAGGACTTAGTCATGACATACTACACACTGCACCAATCCAACCACCTTTGCCGTTCTATGCCAACTTTATCTTAAAAGGATCACTCCAGGGGATATCCACCGAAGGTAAAGAAACAGAACAGCCACCTCGATTGCCAGCAACACTCGTTTGCAATCCGATATAGTGTGTGCTCCTACAGTTGTACTATTTAAATCGTAACTTGATGAAACATTGGAGGAATTAAAATTGCGACATCCATGAGTGATTATGCACATTCTATTTTTATTCAAAATAGTCTGTAAAAATCCTCTGGGGCCCGATAAGCTTTAGCTTTGTTAAATCGTCCATAATAAAACTTTGACTTTGAACTTTGACGCGGACGAGATTTTTAATTGAAGTAATGTGACGGCACTGGCCCGAAGGAAAATCGATCGGTTATCACCGTTCTCGGCAGAAGCCAATCCGGTTAGTCGTCGGTCACTGTAGTATTTTCATGAACCCAGCAACGTTCACATTAGCATTTAGAGTCCCCAAAACTCACTGTCAAGGCCTCTCAGAGATCTCCACATTCTGATAAACCGCCAAGCTCGAATAGTGCCAGCCATGCCAAGGACCAAACTGACATCGTTTCGCGGTCAGAAGAGTGGATAATATCACGTCTGGATCGACAACACATGTTGCTAACGCAAATCTGTGCTTGCCTAACTCATCGCAGTGTCCCCGAACTCTCTCAAAAAACTGGGTCAAACAAAATTCGCCAAGACTCACAATACTGCACAATTGAACAATTCCACTGAAAGATAGCAAAGTTGAAGGAAAAATGGAGAATTTCAGTGGACTAAGGTTGCAAGAAAATCGAGACGCACGAACGCCATTGTTTATGATACTCAGTCAGTCAGTCATTCCCTTGCATGACCGAGGCCGGTAATCTAGAGATGAATTCCCAGACAGTGTTGAAAGTGAGAGCAGGTGAAAAAGCCTAGAACCCGGATGCAGAGTGAGTGAAAAAATAACGATCGCAGCCGAAATAGCACAACGACAAAAACGAACCGGATCGTGTGAAGATAGGGTTCCGGAACTAGCCACGGCTCGCGTCGTTTTGTATCCATGTGAGCGTGAGCGCGGAAAAATGGCTGATATGCACCAGCCTGATACCAACGGGTCAGTAATTCATTATCCGGATTTCCGAAGAACCCGCCCACATCCGCACCGGTCAAGATGATACCGCTAATGGACAGAGACAGGGACATTGGAATCGACATCTATTTGCAAAAAAAGACGTCAGAAGAGGATAAACAGGAGGGAGAGAGAGAGAGCATATGAATTTCACTGTGATGACAAGTATAGTAACAAGTACAGGCTTCGGATGCGGACAATCCACAAAAAAGAAAATCGCATAATAACGAGGATCGGGGAATGGTATGGGAAAAGGAAAACAATCGCTTACTCGCAAGTGACCCCAATCGGCTGTATTGTCCCCGGTCCACACAGCACACGTTCGTTGGGATCCGGCGAAGAACGCTCGCGTCAAAACAAACGGTCTCTCCTTGCCACCAGAACGCAACAAATGTCCTTCCCACGTGGCTTGATGTATATACAGACCGTATATATTGTGCACATCACGATGCTCCCAACCTCCAGCGTGAACTGCATCCTAAATTCATACGGAAGAAAATAACACGAGATAGAAAGAAACACAGGGAAACACTGCAAGGCGAATCGTGCGTCTTTTTTACATCACAACATGGTTCAACAGGTTGGACTCTTAGTCATTAGGACGCAGTGTGCAGAACCCATCTTCGACCTTATCAGTTCGAATGTGGACACCATCACGAAAGGTACGATATTACTTTTAAGACAGAGAATCTAGTCGGGGCCAACAATCTGGGTTCCAGCGATCTCAGGCAAACTCGGTTCCACAAATCCATGCCTGCCCTGGGTGGTTGCGTCAAATTGGTTTCATCGCTGTCACTGGTGTGCTTTGGACCCTGTGGTCCGAGGTTTGAGCTCCGCCACCGCCAGCCAATCTTGATGGTAGGCTCAATAATAACACGCGCGGTTCAATAACACGCCTAACACATATCGTGTTCATCAAGGAGTCGAAATGTGCCAATACAAAAGAACTCCATTTCGTCGGTTTATCGAACTTGGCAATTTGTTTGCAAACGTTTTATCACCTGTCGAGATGACATCGTCAGTGCTGACGAAGTGCTACGAAGCGCCCCCGGAGGGTGTGCGGGCGAGGGGGGGGAGCACGAAGAAGGAACGAATAACTACCTTTGATTGCTGTTGCGGGGCTAAGTGACAATATTATGATACACTCAATACCCGTACACCCAACTATCCGGGGTTTAATACGGGAATATTTCGTATGGAGCGAGTATGAGTTTGGTCACGTGCTGCATTAAGTCACATCCAAACGTTGTACTGGTGATCCGTATATTGTGATAAACGGGGGGTACAGCTAGCATACCGCGATATTTTAGTCCAGGTATGCCGTGTTCGGGTAGGNGGTAGGGTGGTGATGTTAGTACAGTGCTATAGTCACTGTCACCGGCGTGTTTTGGACCTTATGGTCCGAAGTTCCAGCTCCACCATCGTCACACAACTTTGGGATAGGCAGCTTTGTTGTCGTCCGGTTCAACACCATGTCTAACCCAGCGGGGCCACATGTGGTTTGGCACTTCAAGTCCCAGGGCTTGTGCTTCCGGTTTCCATCACTGAACAACAGGTCCTCGTGATTATGGGGATTTCCCACCTGTTGTTCATCACACTATGTATAATGAAAAATGAAAAATCATGCCTTCGCTGTTTGTTTTTTACTTTTCTCTTTCATGGTACTGAATATATTCTCAGCTGTTTTTGGTGCTTCTGTACGGTTTGTTTGTTGAACTCTCGTGTCCCGGGGGCGTAAATAGATCAAAAATCCCAAATTCTCGAATGACCTGCCATATTCTAATCATTTCTATTCCACTCTCCTTCTTTACATTTTTGAAGCATCTGTGTTGATATAGTATGCCTCTACTTATGGTGGTGGTGACAGACGGCTTTCCCTTCGACCGACTCTCTACGACACTTGGTCTGTTGAGGACCACGGAGGCCGGCGGTTTTCTCCTCACATCATCCTCACATCATGACAGTACACAATCAGGCACACTCTACTGAAAATCATCAGCTTCATCAACATTCGCGGACTGAACCGTGACACACTGATTCAGTACAATCGGTTTCTCTCGTCTCGTTCTCCTCTAGCCCTATTCTGACCGGAACCCAAATCTGCCAAAACTACACTTTTCACTCCTCTTGTCTATCCACAGCTCGTATCTGTGCTTTTGTTCTCCAATCAGTTGTCATCATCGGAATACAAAATTGAATGAATTTGTTCCAATAGTAAATGTTAACTGTTCAAACTCCGACTTCTTTCCTTCTATCAGTATTTCTGTGTTATCGTTCAATCAACTGTGGCGAGTCCTCCCTCTTCGATTCCTCATCACCTAATAGAGAACATGTGGTTGTCACGGACCTCAACTATGAGGTTATCATCATCTTAGGAGAATTCAACGGACATAATCAGGAATATCTCACAGTCTTATGACCATTCATCTTTGAAGCGCGAAGCCGAGAACTTCGCCGTGATAAACATCCTGAACGCACACATCCCCGATCTTGTTCTTACCACGGCTCACTGTCACTCGACAGAGACATCAACACGCTCGTCCGCGCTTGGCTCATCGGATCAATGGATTATACGTTAACTCATCAAATTTATTCGCCTCGACAGTCCACCACTTCCAGATGCACATTTTGACGCTACGGCTTTGCCAACTGAGACGGTTTTCGCGACCTCCGGTTCCAATGATATTGAACAGATGCAAGGGCTTATTTCGGTGACTCATCAACTGGCTAATACGTCACATTTTATATCACATCAATCTGTATGGAAAAAAGGAAACAAAATCAATGATTATATAAATGGGGATTGTTGTTATTGTTTTCTGTCTCAATTTCACAACAGCAAGAGCGCCACCGAGCCACATGCTTCAGTGTCGTTAGTCGGTCATTACACTAATTCCGAGGTCCCCGAACAGGAAGCTTAGTGCAACCAATATGACCGAGTCACCTGGTCACGATTTTAATCGCCAGATTTAAGTTCGCCCACTCATGCCGGATTGTCTGCTCACTACCTGTCTGGGCAAGTATCGCAATTCGAGGAAACCTATCAGGTAGCAAGCATAACATATGCTCCAGCCACCGAAATCTACGGAGTTTAACCACTTGTTCCTGTGGGCGACAAAGATTACCTAAAGCTCGGTGACCAACCTGAGCACTGCTTGTCAAGTTAAAGTCAAATTCAAAGCTTGATTATGGGCGATTTAACAAAGCTAAAGCTTATCGTGCCCCATAGGGCTTTTACAGACTATTTTGAATAACTTCACAGAGAGAAAACAACAATGATAATAATGTGCGTGATCACTCACGGATGTTGAAATTTTAAGTGTTCCAATGCTTTATCAAGTTGCGATTTAAATAGTTCA